CCTTGGCTCCCACCTTAAGTTTTGATTTAATAAGTTGTTTCACTTTAAGAAGTTATTAAATATGTCGAAATGTATTTTGTGTTCTATGTGTATGTGCGATTTCCCTTCATCCAGTTAATCAGTTTTTTTTAAATAATATTTTCTCTTGAATATTCTCGCGCCACCCCTGTAGTACGCTCGCGCCACCCTAGGGGGCGCTCCCCACAGGTTGAGAATCGCTGGCTTAACTTATTGAGCAATGTTAAAGAGTTCATGCCTTTACAAAGATGAAGGACAATAAATAATAGGGGTCATCAAATTTTTTGGGGAATATCTTCTTCCCCACATGAAATAGTTAAAAATTAATACTAAGATATATTCGCTTAGAATTTACGCTTTTATACCAAGTAGTAGACGAAACTTAATTAATGCTTGTTAAGTTTACAAGGAGAAAATTTTTTTTTGAAAGAATCTCCATACTTGTAATTAAAAACTAGTTATGGGTCATTCTCACAAAAAGGTGATTTTTTAAGTCCCTGAGTAATAAATATTAGGAAATACAGCAGATTTCTTAATATTTTTCTTTATCATTTTTCGTGAAGTTCTTAACTAACAAATCATATGCATTTCTGCTAAATGTATTTAATATTTCATTCTTATTTTTTAATAAACATGACTTCAAAATCCCCTCCGTGGACGTCCCTACGTCTGTGGCACAAAATAATTTTTAATGCCTGTTAAACAATTTAAATGTTATTTTAATCATTTTTGTAGTTTTACCTAGTTAAATGTTTATAGTAGCTTTTCATTTAATATTTTTTTTGAAAAAATTATTTTTGTAAAATAAATGACTAGTAAACTTTGTCCATCAAAAATGATGTCTCCCTCCGTGGACAATTAATATAGTTCTGTAAATATGCAATAAAGGGCAGCATATGCGAAATCCCTATAAGACAGCTGCTGAGAGGGGTAACCATTCCATTTTCTAATGTTAAATATCAGTTGTTTTTGTTCTCTTTGGTGTCAGTTTTGGATTGTTGTGTTCAACTGGGGTTTGGCAAAGTTCTCACCGTATACTCCGTGGACATCATAAAGAAGGTAAGAGAAAATTATTTTATTTTTGATAGATGAATTTTAGATTGCAAAAATAGTATATTTAACAAAAAGAACTGCCCCATTTTTGTAACTTTAAAATTAAAAATCAGAAAAATTCAAGAACTAGTTTTTGTCTCCTCCGTGGACATAACAAGTCCACGGAGGAGAAGACACAGTCAATGGAAGAGACAATGTGTTAGATAACCATAATACAATTTTAATAATTAAAAAACTATTTTCTTTTAATTGATATTTTTTAAAATGGAACAAATGTGTTAATTTGTTTGTATTTTTAAAGAAAATCAATTAAGTTTAACTTTTTCTTATCGGAGAAGTAAATATTGGCAATTTTTCTAAATAATTTCTGTGATGTTTAACATTTTTTTTCTCTTCAAATTTTAGGAAAAAAATTGCAAAACCAAAATTTAAGAAAAGAAAGCAATCAAATGTTCAAATGCAAAAGAGAAGGGAACAGAAAAAACTTAGTATGAGACAAGCTAGACAGAAATTAAAAGAAAACCCTATATTGTTTGAAGAAAGTTTAAAAAAAAAAAAAAAAAAAAGAGCAAGAAACTTTAAAATCTGTATCAGAAAAAGATTTAACAGAAAAATCGTGATTAAATGTACTTAAATTTCTAGAAATTGATAGAGCAAGCCGTTTGTGCCCAGGGAAAAAAGAAACAATAACAAGAAGAAAAGAGAAAAAACAAAAACGTTATTTGGATGACAGTATGTTTAACTTGCATAAAATGGTCACAAAAGAGTACCCTCAACACTCAACTTTCATGTGGAGTCTGAATTTTTATTTCAATAGTCTTTACATTTTAATTTATTAATATTCAGTAAGAGTTACTTAAGAAATTGTACACCTAGGTTAAAAATGGATGTTTCCTTTCATAGCAGCATGATTAATCGGAAGTAGCTCTATCTCTAATTATGAAATATCTTATTATTTACTTATGAATGTTAAACTCATATCAGCTGTGCCCAATAATTAATGAATTAGTCTTCATTGACATTTTATATTTTATAACATAAAATGTCTCCTCCGTTGACTATTACATCTCCTCCGTGGACAAGGCAGAATTTAAAATATTTTAAATCTTCTAAAAAATAAAATAGAAAACTTGACCATTATTATAAGGACATATAACAAAAATAAATAAAGGCATTTATGTAATTTTTATCACTTTTTTAATTACTTTAATTTAAGACATTTTTTTAGTCTATTTATACCTTTCCAGTGAGAATGACCCTTATATGGTATTTAATCCATTAATTCGGTAATTGTTTGTTAGTATCGTAGTAGTTTACTAGAAATTCTGGTTCTCTACAGATATGTTTATCTTTTTTAAACCTCATTTTTTACTTGTTAAATTAACATTGAAATAACTATTAGCTAGCATAATTTCTTTTTTGCGTCAAATCAACTTATACGCGTCTTTTATTGTCTCCTTTGAAGCGAACTGCTTCAACATCGTCCTTTCAAGTTTCCTTTTCTGCATATCTTCTTCTTTTTACCCCCCCTTTCGGTAGTTTAACTAATATTGTTAAGTTGATTTGAATTATTAACTAGCATAAAATTTTTTTGCCTAAAATCAACTCGATTGTACTTATACGTACTCATTTTTCTGATTTGAAAGTACTGTTTCAACCTTTTTAATTCAAATCCCCTTTCAACACACTTTTAACAGTGTTTGAAATCCCACTTTTACTTGTTAAATTATCCTTTAATTTTCTATTAAGTAACGCACAATTTCTTTACTTAAAATCAATTTTTCTTCTCTTTTGAAACAAACCATTTTAACGTCTTCGTTACTTACCTTCTTTCTACATAAATTTTAATTGACAAGCATACATTTTTTTTTTATTTAAGTCAACTTATACTTACCTTTTAACACATTTTTACATGTACCATTTCATGAACTTAAACATATCGTTTCAAATGAGAGATTTGAAATTTTTACGCGAAAATACAATTTTTGTTGAAATGTATAGTTTCAACGTTTTCAAACCATACGCATCTTTTGTTTTTTCCTTATAAATTCTCTTTTATTAGTTAAGCTTTCAGTTATAACTAGGTAATAAAAAGGTTTACTTTAAAAACTAATTATCTTTTTCTCCTTTGAAACAAATTGTTTCAATGTTTTCATTCCAAACTTATTTTTTACTTTTTTTAAAAATTAATTTTATTTACAATTAATTTGCATACAAAATGTCTCCCTTAAAGTTTTTTCCAACAAAATAGAAAACGTGTTCTTTATATGGCATTATTTATTTATACCTGTGATTATATTATATTATTCATATTTAAGTGAAAGTTTTAGCTAAATCAATGATGTTATTGGACTCAGTCAAGAAGAATATGAGTAATTAATTCATAAATTACTGAAATATTATTCTAATTTTTAAATATTAGTTTGTAATTTTGAAGTTGATTTGAACATGAGAAATGAATTTAATTTCAGCACCAACAATAGTCATTCTCAAACATTTCAGAGGATTGACAGAAATATGTTCATGCAAATAATAAGGAATGAGGTAAATATTTTGATTTGTGATAAATATTTATTTAAAACTCTAACGCATTTCAAACATTTTAAATTGTAGGAAATTAACTTTATTTTATGATTTTGAGTAAAATTGATCATACCTGAATATTTGAGAGTTGGACTGTATCCCTTTACGAAAACTTTAAGCAAATGGAAAATAATCAGTTATTATATTATGGATAGGAAATAATAGAATTATATAATAAATATAGTTTGGTAAAATGTTACTGAAAATAGGAATTTAGTTTAGAACAAAATCACGTAAAAAGACATTAGATTTGAAAATGACAGAAATCAAATTAAAATTAATGAAGAATTGAAAGTATTCATTTTGAAACTAAACACTTGATATAAGAAAAAATGTTTTTCCTAGTCAAGCAGTTTTTTGAGTTATAACTTACATTAAGTCTACTTTTTTGAAAAAATGTGTTAAAGTTTATTTCTCTGAATAAGAGTATGAATTAATGGGAAAATTTAAATTTTTTTTAAACTTTAATAAGGAATACATTAAATTTCTAATAATTTTCACTTTTTTTGGAAGATTTTTTATTTCAAAAGCATTTAAATATACATAGAATGGTGGAAAGGGAAATATTTAATTGTGAGCATTTAAGAGGTTAATACTAATTTAATTTATTCAAATGTTAGTCAAATAACTAAATCAAGACTAACTCTTATTTTTGATACACGAAAAAATAAATTATAAATTCTTATTGAAATAGAAGGTTTTAAAAAATTTTCATATTTTTAAAAAGATCTAAAATCTCTTTTTTTAAACCAGAAAGTATGTACATAACTTTGGAAACTTTCGAAAAAATTAACATATTTTTTTAAGAAACCTAGAATGTTTTTAAATAAAAAATATAAAATATTTATAACGTGACTGTGAAGTAAATAAATGTATATATTAAATAAATTTAAATATTTAAATAATAATAAAATAATATGATATTTTATAGAGAGAAAAAAATATATGTCATAAAATTATACGAAAATTTAAAATCGGCTATGATGCTTGAATAAAAACTTTTCTCATTAATAAGAATTTGAATTTTTATCGTTATTCTTCATTTAAAAAGCAGATCTTATAAAAAGTCAAAAATCACTTTTGAATGTTGATTGCGTTTAGACTTTTAAAGTCAAGTTCAAACACAGAAAGCGCAGTAAGCGACTTTCCGTATCTCTTTGTGCGCCTTCAAACTGTTTATTTTAAAAGTTTCAAAAAAAATATTTCTTCTACAATTATGATAAATCCATATGGAACATATTTGATTTTCATATTGTTTTATTTCACTAGGGGTGACCTCTCAACAGCATCTTCCACTCCCATTTCTCAAGGGATTGTCGGAAGATGAAGAGCAATCTCCTACTCATCAGAGCCCCCTCCATCCTATGAGTAAAGCGCAAGCGCAATATGATGGAATCAACTCACTCGCTACGGTAATCGGCGGCAAGTGAGAGAAAATTCCGCTTCATAAGGATGCTGCTTGTAGCTCCAACACGTGTAAACTGCAATGTATCGATACCTAATACTTAAGCTCTTCTCAATACTTAGTGTTTTGAATTATGGGTAAGGAAATTAACTTTGAATTTATATTTAACCCTTCTAATATATAAAAAATACTCATTTATACTATTTTTTATGTCGCCATTTCTTGGACAGTTGTTGTCGGCAGGTGGAGAGTCCTGCACAATTGGATAATGTCACAGATATACTCAAAACAATACTGGAAGGCTACGATATACGACTTAGACCTAATTTCGGAGGTATGTTTAAATTTATTTAAAAAAAAAATGAAAGTAAACTTTATATATTACTGCTTAATTCAAAGGTTTTAAAAACTTAACTTTGAATGTTATTATGGTTTAAGTATAAATCTGAGTGGTACAAGTAATACAAGTAAATAATAATTATATGTCTATCTTTTATTACTAAGTAGAAGCTTCTGATACGAATTGATCTGATAATATTATTCTCACTTTAAAACGAGATTATTATAATGTTAAAAGTTATGACTTTTTATAATTATGAAAAATGAAATAATGCTTTAAAATTAAAGAATACGTCTTTCTTTTTTTACACTTATTTTCAGTATTAAATTCATTTAAATATTTCTGCGAAAAAAATGGATTCAAAATTGCGTAAGCAATATTATTAGATGAAACTCGTTATACTAGAAAGCATGTGATATATTAGATTTTATTTTGATTAGAACATGAAAGAATTAATGAACATGATTTGAATATGCCTTTCTTTTTTACACTTGATTTCAGTATTTTTGCTTATTAAATTTATTTAAACATTAAGAAAACATTATTTTCAGGAAAAATTTATTAAGAAAACATTTATTAAGAAAACATTTATTAGGAAAACATGTGACATATTATGTTTTTTTATTAATTAGAAGCATATTTCCTGCAATTAGAAATTTTAGTTTTCAATCACTTTCATCCGAAACTTTTTTGGTGTGAAATAAAATAAAACTATAAAATATTTTAAACATTTACTTTTGATAAGGAATATATAAATTGGGACCTGAAATTAAAGATCTCGGGTTTATTTAACTTTCGCTTTTGAAGAGGCTTAGAGTTTATTTGGATCTTATATAATATTCAACTTGCTGCTGCATATTATTGTATGCAAACTAATACATTCTTGTTTTTTTCAAACACTCACTATATAATAATGATTTTCTTCAGCAAAATAGCAGCTCTACTCAAAAAATTAAATTAAATAGTTATCTTCTATAAAAAATTAAATTAGTGTTCAGCATTTCGTTAGATATTTCCAAGCTAATTTCTTTAAACCGTTTCATTTCTGTATAACTGCGTAGCATTGTAAATACATTATGCTGACATTATACAAACTGCTTCTTATATTTTAATTTTTATATTCAGAATTATCATTTTTATTATTATTTTATTTATTTATTTTTTGCTTCTGGAGAATTCCGAAAGAAATATTTATGTTTATCCTTATGTTTAGATTTATAATAAAATAAAAACAGTTAAATGTGCTTTGAAATTTAAAGCACAAGCATGCAATTATAGTAATTTATTGTAATCTTCAAAGCTGCGACTGTAACTAATTCCGATGTTAACAGCAGGTATTCAATATTCTTAAGCAGCAAAATAAATCGTCAGTTTTTTTTTAATGTTTTCAGTCAAAACAAAAATGGAACAGTTGTTTTAAAGAATAAATAGCTGTCAAACTAAGCAGAAGGTAAACTGTTGCACTTACTAAGCTATTTTTACTTCAAACCCATTTTTATATACTCGTTCAAAAATTTTAAATATTTACTTTCGTTAGCATAATAACAACAATTCAGTAATCCAAATAGACTTGACTCTTAAATGAGCAATACAAAAAGTTTTCACAGTTTTTTAAATGCTATAAATACTTTTTCTGAGCGATTGATTTATGATATTTCAATTTCTTTAAGAAAAACTTTATGTAAAAATTTTCTAAAATGTTTTCTGGTCTAAATATTTTCCATTTGGGATTTCTAAGCTACTTTTTTGAGGCATCTTGCAGTTAAAAAGCGTTTGTGTTAGAGAATAATTGGTTGTTGTAAAATTTGATCTTTATGTTTACGTGGATAAATGTTTTCTAAAACTTGCATGCTAAAACAAAAGAAAATGTTTACTTAATCTTGAGTAACTAAGGACAGCAGTATGATTTATATATTTTACTCATGTGGATTGGTAAAAGATAACAAATGGCATTCATAAATAAAAGAAAATTGTAAAAATTAGTTTTTTCTTAATATTTTGTGTGTCTTGAATATTCAATCTACATTAAACAGTTTTAGATGCTTATTTAACGATTAAAGTGCCTTCAATTTTATTGAAAAATTATCGTATCCTCCATTGATTGTCATGAGCTGATCAGTAGGAAAAATGTTGACAATATTCACATCAATAGCTTTGTGGAATACATTTGTTGCCCTTTGTTACCACGTACTGCAAACAAAAATGAATTTTCATGTGCAGAACAATAGCCAATCGGAAAAACCAATGGAGCAAATTAACCATGAAAGTGCTGCAAAAATAAAAGTAAATATTTGTTGATTAAAACTATAAAACGTTTAAAGATTTTGATGAAATTTCCTTATGATTAAATGAAGCTTATAATTAAGTCCTTATTATGATAAATTCCTTATAATTAACGATATGTTTAATTCCTTATATTTAAGTAAACTAAAGTGATATAATTAATTCCTTATAATTAAGTCAACTTACTAAAACACACATTAAATGTAAAGATTTTTGATCCAATATTTCTCTGAAATATTCATTACTTTAAAATCAAAATTTGTCAAAATAGCTCCGAAACAAATGTAGTACAATTTTAAAACTATATTTATTCAAAATTAAAGCGTTATATACACACATTTGAGCGAAAGGCATAGTCTCAAAATGTTATGAAATTTGAAATGTATAAGAGAAAAGCTTTACAGAAGAATTTGAAGAAAGTTCCTCCGGTAGGATGCTCGAACCACCATAGTTGCACATTCCATTCCGGGGTGAGTTAGGAAGCTTTACATGGTGGTCACTGCAATTACTCATTATGACTTACTAATTTCCAATTTCAAAGGTACAAAGGGTTTCAATTTGAAAATATGTCACGATGTGTCACTGCAACGGCTACTATATAAAACTTCCCAACTCACCCTCTGCTGAAATGTACAGCGCTCTTGACACAAAAGTGTACGGTGTACAGAATTGGTCGAATTGTTCCTGAGAAATCGAATTTTACATATCTGACTTCTTGAAATTTAATTTCTCAGTAAATGTTCTACCAATTTTTCGCCCATTTTGTATTTTGCAATTATATTCTTTAAAAAAAATGATGCAAAAAATTGTATACCTTTCAATTCAAAAATTTTTCCATCATTATTAAACAAAATAATAAAAAGTATTTAACAGTTGCTAAAACTTATTTTTTAATGGAGTTTATCTTTGGATAAACGAATTTTATATTCGAGAGGAAAAGTTTTCAATTCGCTTAAAAAGTTCTCGAAATATAGCTAAATGCGCAAAAAGTGAAATTTACATCCAAACTTTGGTCAGCTCTCCTGTCCAAATTATTCGAATTCTATTTTCTAGATTGTTTATTAAGAGAATGTTTATCTAGAATGAGAAGAGAATGAATATGTTTATTAAGAGAAAGTACGTTTTTCTGTCTGATTTCATAGCTTAAAATATCATTTGCATTTATTAATTAGCATATTTGAAGTCATCCCTTTTAGCCATTAAAATTGAGTTTTAGATGGTTAAGATCCGATCATTAGATCAAAAGTAATTCAGATTCAGGGTGGTCCGTTTTTTTGGCACATTGTATAACTATGGTTAGAGCAGCCTAGTAAGAACCCAGAGGTCCTTGTTTCAAATCCTGCCGGAAGTCAATGATACATTTTTCTTTGCTCAACTTTTTGGAGATAATATGACGACAGAATTATAGTATATTGACATTTTAAGACAATATGACAATACATTTTACTCAAAAATAATTAAATGCAGTTTTAATTTTTTACACATTTGGTTTTCAAGTTTGACTATATTTATTTCAGAGTTAATTTGACAAATTTTTGCTCAATATCTCTTTCTTACAGTGAACTGTTATTATGAAATTTAAAATTTATACTCGCACTATTCCTAAAATAAGGGTAAACAAAATAGCATTAATCAACTTATTGACTTAATTACTCCTGGAAGACTGAAACTTATATAAGAATAAAATTCTTGGAAATAATAAAAAGATTTTAATGAAGTAAGAGAAGAGCAGAAGTGGCTCTTCTTCTAATGAAGTAAACCGGCTTCAAATCCCGGCGATGGCATTCGAATTCCGCACCCGGCTAGAAATGACGACAGTGCTCACGTAAAATATTCTCAGTTGTAGATGGAATCATGGGTTAAATTTCCCTTTCTTTCAGGCTAATCGTGGGACGTTTTCTTGGTTTTCTTCTCCATATAACCCAAATGTGGGTTTCGAAACATTCTTAGAAGTTTTTATTAACAAAAGTATATGAGAAAGTATTTCAAAATTTATAAAAAAAAATGTTTTTTGTTGTTAGAATTTATATCGAAATTTTTACGAATAAAACACATGCAAGAATCATTTTTTAAATTTATGAGCAAAATATATAACCATAACGTTGTATTATTAATCTCATAAATGTGGCATATGAATGTATAATAATATTAAAATATTTTATTTACATATAATTCACTGAACAGAATTTAATAATGATATAGTAATTTACTATTAAAGCAATAACTGACTCATAGTGCAGCTCTAGTGTGACGTAAATAAAATGCCTACCTACCTGCCTGCCTGACAACCTAAAACAATGACTATTCACTCACTGATTAAAACCACAAAATTGTTTTCATACAAAATATAATTTATGATTGACTCCCCAAAACAAAGTGATACTTTTGCATAATTGAAAATATATCGAAAAAGAGACGTGATACGAGAAAAAAGTCATAATAAAAGTCAGTCTTTTATAGTCGTGTTAAATTTTTGCAACACGTTTTTTATTAAAATATATTTCCAATTGAATAACAACTGAGCTCTTAAAAATCATTAAGATAAGATAAATAAAAACTCAAAAACTGTATTTGTAATGGTAGGGAATATTGTTATTTAGCGTTCCGAGAACTACGACACACAAGAAGGAAAATAAATTAAATACGTTGAGTAGTCATCAAATTTCCAATAAAAAGAAGAAAAAAAAGAAAAACTTTTTGCTTGGGTTACG